TTTGGAACATCTCAAGAAACTGATTGATAATCAGGAAACACACAAGGTTAGGGACTAACCAGATACTTGGGAGCCAGCTTGAAATTCCTATGGATAGCAGATATACTGATGGGATATCTCATGGTTTCTTCAGAAACAATAGATAGCTTGCAGCATCAGGGTTTTGGATTTTCACTTGTTGTGAACAAGCCTCAGCTTAGCATGACTTTTCCAGATCTTACTATAGTCTTTTAACAGACTTAAGGCAATTATTGGAGTGTTCATAACCTTTGGGCAGGAGGACTTCCACCAGTCGTCCTGGGAAAAGTATGACGACACCTGTGGTCAGGGCTCCAACGGGCTGGACGCTGTGATGAACCCCTTTACCATTGTTCAAATGTTGCCCATACCCCCTCTGACTCAGTCTCTTGCCTCAGCATTCCCTAACCCAGCAACTGAGTTTTAGTCAATCAAGTTTAAATAGGCCTCCCATAGTGGAACCAGGGAATGTACGGCCCGAGATGCCTATTAAACTTAGAGGTGTGTGTGTGTGTGTCAGGGGTGGGGGAGGGAAAGTCCTTTGTAAATCCAGATTAGAACTGGTCTGATAATGCTGAGCTGGGTGTGTGTGAACATGGGTTAATTAGCATTTGGAGCACAGATTCCCCTTCATGCAATGCTCCCATGCTTCTCTGATCCCAGAATTCACTGCAGTCTCTGCTTCAGGCTTTCTGTTCTCCTTCTCTCATGTAAATGAATGGCCATCTGATTCCATTTTGGATGCAGATGAGACCTAGGGCAGTTGTTTCACTCTTGTCACCCTTATCTGGAGGGTCTTAGGTGTGTCTCTCACTGCATCTTAATCAGTTTCATGGGGGGGTGAGTCCTTTGTGAGTCAAACAGGCTGTGTCCTGTGCCAGGGTTGCCCAAGAACACAGAGCTGAGACGTAACAGAGGGACACGGCAAAAGTGACACCGGAAGTATCACTTCTGGGTTTCACCACAGCTGCAAGCAGAGATTTTGCCTCTTCTTTGGCCCACGGCCCAAGGCAAAGCAGTCTGCACAGGGCAAAGCAGCCTGCACAGGGTTCCCCTCCCTGTCCCCCAGCACACTGACGCTGGGGAGTGCACCAGATGGTGCACATTTGATTAACCAGAATATTTGATTAACTGGCATCCTCCATCCCCGGGGCATGCCGGATAACAGAGCTTTTACCATAGTTAGCTATGTTAATCTAAAGTCAGTCAGAAGGCAGGGTAGATGTGCACTTTTATACACAAAATAAATAAGAGTGAGAGTAAGCACAAGCTTTTGTGAACCGAAGTTCACTTCATTAAATGATATGAAAGGATAGTTTAAAGCAGACTATAAAGTGGAGTGATTAATTAGAATACAATAGGTGAGAAAGCAGGAAGGAGAGAGAGGGAGTACTGTGAGAGGCATCAAGCAAAGAACCTGTAGGAACAAAGGAGTCACAAAAGCTAATCCAGGTAATGGGATAAGAATCTGCAGTCCCTGTTTAAACCATACTTAACATGGTCCAATTTGTGGATGATTTCTTTAACCATAGTCATAGTTGGCACTTGTGAGGCTTCACTTGGAGTACTGTGTTCAGTTTTGGGCACTGCATTTCAAGAAAGACTTGGACAAGTTAGAAAGAGTCTAATAGGAGCAATAAAAATTTTTAGAGGTCTGGGAAACAAGATTTATGAGGAAAGACTGGAAGTACTAGGATTATTTCATCTGGAGAGAAAATAGTGGGGGCATTTGGTGTCAGTCTTCAGATACCTGAAGGGTAGTTATAAACAGGATGGTGATAGACCTATTTTCTGTAGCTGCAGAGGACAGCACAAGGAGTAATAGTCTTAAACTACAGCAAGGGAGATTTAGGTTGGAGATTAGGAAGAATTTTCTCACTGTGAAGATAGGTAAGCATTGGAACAGGAAACCTAGGCAGGTTGTGGAATCTGCGTCTTTAGAAGTTTTTAAGAGCAACGTAGACAAACACATTGTCTGAGATGGTTTAGATGATGGTCCATGCTTGAGCAGAGGGCTCAACTAGATGATCTCCTGAGGTACCTTCCAGCCCTCCTTTTCTGTGATTCATTATATTCAATATTACATAATGTGGGTATGCATTTGAAAAATCCACATTTCTTGTGAATGAGAGAAATTTTTAATCACCTGAAACAGATAGACTTAAACCAGAAAGGGTTTGGCATATTATTTTGATTTTTATAGTAAATAGCATGAATCTTAAGCAAGTGTTTTTGATTATTTCTGCATTCTTTACATTGTTTTTGCCCAAACTAATACAAAAATGATCATTACTGCTAGAATCTGATTTGTTAAATATCTCTTTTAATTGCAGACTCCCATACATTCTCCCCAACAAATATTTCCAGATGCCAGGAGAGATGTCTCTTCTCCAATGAACGAAGATCAAGGGGAGAGCTCAGATGAAAATGAAGCTAATGATAAAAGCAAGAAAAGATTAAAATCCCCTTCCAGGAGAGACAGCTACAGTGATAGCAGTGGAAGTGGGGAAGAAGAAGTAGTAGGGAGTCCAGCAGAGAGAGTACTGGCTGGAAGCCCTGGCTGGAAGTCTGCCCTATACCATACTTCAGATCAAGTGATTGCTCAGGCACACAGTCAGTATGAAATTACTTGTAGCCAAGAAGAGGTGGCCATCCACTACTCTACTCATGAGGTCCCTAGGAAACCAGAGTTTGAGGATAGGTATATTTATAACAGTTATTTATTTTGCAAAAGTTGTATTAGGGTTTTTCATAGGCACAGAAGAGTCAGAAGGGTAGAATTCCCCTACAAAATGGAAGATAAACTAGATAAATTGGACTTCAGTTTGTGAAAAGTCAAGATTTATTTCACATAAAATAAACATCAAAAGTTGGTTTATTTGGGTTGGGGGTGTGAGATCCACCCTGACTTTGGGTTTTTAAATATTGGCAAAAACAAGAGTTTAGAGGTGAACTCTCTGTGAAGTGATACATTGTATCTCTAGTAGATTGTTTAAACTCTTTCCTTTTCTTCCTGTAGTAATCTTCCATCACCACTTCCACTGGACTTGCCACCAGTACCAAGCTGTAGGACTGTTCCTGATATTTCTGCTCCTGGTTTGATGGGGGATGCCTACACCAGCTCTGTCTCTGAGCTAATTTCCCAACAGGGAGGGATGAAATCATTGCTCAGCCAATTCGAAAAACATGCTGATGAATATGAACCAGTAATTTCTTTCTTTCTTTCTTTCTTTCTTTGTCTGCACCGCGCGTGTTAAATTCTGTGGGGGAGGGAGGGTTTGGAGCGTTGGTCAGTCATGATTTTGGCAGCAACCAAATGCAAGATATGCACGTTTACTTACAATTAGAACTGTTTTTCTAGATGACATTCTAAGTTTATACTTGACTGGAGGCATATTTTAGAAAAGGCATGTGTACATTCTGCTTATTGTAGGTGGTGGCCATCTGTAAAATCTGAAATGTTGTCATTATTCACACAAGTGTCCCTAGGTATGTAGAGCCTGGGCCACCTAAATGATTCAGAGGTTTTGCTCTTTCTTTTAGCTGGGCTGTAAAACTGTCATCACAAGCTCTAAAACTGCCTGTGTAACTTGTGAACGTTTTCACTCTACAGACGTAATGGAAGCGCATCCTGAGCATAAGCACCAAAAATGACACTTACATGATTGAGAAACTTCCATTTAGGCTCGCAAAGGAAAATAGTATTCTCTCCTAAATGTCTAACTAGCCTGAGGCAGTATTTTGAGACTACTCATTTGTCAACTAATACTTTCTCCATTAACATCCTCTGAGACTTCTTGAAGTCCTTACATTCCCTCCATTTTTGCTGTGCTACATTCATCCACAAGATCCTCTGCTCTCTTCAGAATTTTCTGACATTGGTTTTTAATATCTGTGAGGCATTGTTGTTGTGCATCTCAAAGTGTCTCCTGCTCTCTCTTTCCTTGTCAGTTCACAGAGTCAAAGACAGGGCTCAAAACTGAGCCTTCATATTTCTCACTGTAGTACAAAGCACCATAAGGTATACAGCCAAGTGTACAGCTCTGCCAGATCTAAAAAGGAACACTAAATTCAAATGCAGACCCAATGCATGCATGTGTACAATACCAAGCTACACAGAATAGTCTTGCCTTTTGGCAACTGAAATGTTCAGCTTTGTCCTTTTGTACAAGACCATTTTCTTCCTTCAGATTTATATCCATCAGTGTTTTGCCCTGATCCTGCAAACATGTAGAGTTTTTCTAAACATGAAAGTTAATCAAGAATTAAATAGCATTTAAAGACTATATACCTATTCAAGGAATCCCAGAACAACAGCAGTCTCCCTGTGCCTAAAGAAGGGTACTTGTGCCTCAACGTTTGCAAAGAACTTTGTTCCAGCTACTCATTTGGTCTAATAAAAGATATCACATCTACCCAAAGAATCTTGCCTGCCTATGTCCATAGATCAACATGGCTACAACAAAAAACCCTGCAGAGTTAATCCAGACTCCCTAGTCTGGAATAGTTGCATATATAGACAAGCCTATGTTCAATTGTATGCACAAGAGCAGTCCCCTTGGGTCTGTATTTGTGTTGAGTGAATTGGTTAATAAAGTCTCCTTAACCTATGTGAATTTAAATAACTCAGTCAGACTACCCATATATTTTTACAGTACACACTATTTATTTGCCTATATGAAACTGTCCATATTCAAAAGCTTATGTTCTAAAACATAATTTTCTTCTCATAGGAAGTGGAGCTCGAAGTCTCCATGACTAAATCAGAAAAGGGAAGCCTTGGCTTTACAGTGACCAAAGGTAATGATAATGTTGGCTGTTACATTCATGACATTGTGCAGGATCCTGCCAAAAGTGATGGTAGACTACAACCAGGAGACCGTCTTATAAAGGTAAGGCAATTAAAACTCCATAGTAGAACATATTCCAGGGCTAAAGGGATTTATGTGAAAAATGAGAGGAAATCAACAAACTTTGGGTCAGAAGAATCTGGACTCCAAATTGTTTGGTGTACTGAATGAATTATGTGGGTCAGAAGCAAAAATAAATGCACATGTTGAAATCATGATATAACAGCTGTGGAATTAACTTAAATATAACTATAAAATAAAACCTGAAAGATTACTTTAAAAAAAGTGGGCACTGTGTAACCCTTCTTCCAAACTTTGGGTTGACATGAATTGGCTCAGTATAGCTGATAGTGTGATTATAGTTAGGCTAAATCCTGATTACTCAGAATGTTCGTATAAGCTTGTACAATTTTCTGCATATTCCAGACATTCCTAACAACAGGGAAAACAGCTTTAAATACTTTGAGCTAAACTGAAGCAAGTTATAACTCCATAAATTATCATGGAATAGGAATGTGCTTAATGACACTCTTAAACCCTATATCTGCAGTTAACTTTGTACAATGGGTAGTCCTACTGAAGCGCATTAAATTAAGCAGGTATGACTGTCTTAATAGATAATATGAGTTGTTAGAATAATCTTAAATCTTTAGTAAAGAATGGAAGCATAATCTGGGGATCTGAGTCTGGCTTTCAGACCTCTCTAAAATTTTATTCTTCCATTTTCTGGAACAGCTATACACTATACCTTTCCTGTCATTTCCCATTTATAGTTAAGGATTTGATTCTTGACTTGTAACATTTTCATCAAACATGTTTATCAATGCGAATGGATATCACCATAAACTACAATCTCTGCCCTGTCAACTTAGTGTTTATAGTTTGGGCATTTAATAGGGCCATTAACTAAATTACTTTAGCAATGCTGGATATTTAAATTGGAGTAAAAACTAGGATGTTTCTTTTGCTTTTATCCTCACAGGTTAATGAAGTGGATGTTACTAACATGAGTCACACAGATGCTGTAAATTTTCTTAGAGCTGCCCCAAAGACGGTCAGAATAGTGCTTGGCCGGGTTCTGGAGTTACCCAAGATTCCCATATTACCTCATTTACTGCCTGATATTATATTAACATGCCATAAAGAGGAGCTGGGTAATAAAAATTTTATTGCTGCTGATCCTCGTATGGAATATATTTGTTGTTCCACTTTTAAAAACCACACTCAATTCCTAAAAAAGGGTTTTATTTTTTTCCTTCTGCACAGGTATCTCTTTATCTGGAGGTCACAATAGCCTTTACCAGGTGGTATATATTAGTGATATCCAACCAAGCTCAATTGCTGCCAAGGAAGGCAGTCTCCGTATGTTAGATATCATCCATTACATTAATGGAGTCAACGTACAGGGAATGACTCTGAAAGAAGCCAGGAGAACATTGGAAATGTCACTTCCTAACGTGGTGCTAAAAGCAACAAGGTATCTTCTGGGAGCAAATTCTTTCCTGTGCTTTTTAACTGGAATAATTGTATCTTAATCCCCCTTAAAATATTTTTCTAGCAGAACTACCACCCCTGGGTGTGATAATGGCTGATGTATCTTTAGGTTTGTTCCTTCAGGATGTTCTGTCATCAAGATAACATGTTCCAGTGGAGCTGAGTACTCATTTGCACTGAAATAGGGCAGAGTAATGACCTATATGTAATAAATAAAGCAGGTCAGAATGTGGCCTTTTTTTCCTTTCATAAACTCTTTCTTTCTAGAAAAACCTCTATGTTGTCTAAATACTTTACTTTTAATGACAAAAGTTATGCCTGTTTTTAATATTTTATTGAAATAGTCCTCACTATTGAGGCAACTGAGGAAATCAAAGGACTTCCTGGGGCAGGAGGCAGAAACCAAAGGAGGGAGGAAGAGCCCAGAGACACTAGCTGCTGTTGCAGCCAGAGCAATGGGGGAAGTGATAGAGGGGTAGAAGCCTAAGCACCACAACTTAACCCCGAAGGGCTGCATGTGGCCCATGGGCTGCTAGTTGAAAAATCTTGCTCTGTCTATTCTCTAGGCCCTTGTGCATCTGAGTAGTCAGACCGTATTTTGTTATCAGTGGAACTGGGCTTGGGAGAGAGTCCATGTAGACATACCTCTGCTGTAGTCTGTACAAGCTCCAGAGAATTGAGAAAACAGGTGAAGACTCGCATTGTTTCAGGGTGCTGCAGCCCCAGTCTTTCTCCCACTGTATCAGGAGGAAGGAGATAGATTAACTGAGAGACCTAAGCTCTGGCAAGAGATAAGATGTTGCATTCCTAATGTTGTATGCGTACAATTCCTTTTTGGAAATAAAGCGTGTGTGTGTGTGTGTACTTCTTGTAGGGATGGTCACCCTTTGGTTCCAAAGTTCAAGGATGCTAATTCAAGTCCAAACTCAAAAAAAGCCAACGGTAAGCAACTCCTGGTTTTGTACTGTAAATTAAACTTCTTTTATGATTGACAGCCATGTATTATCTTTATCTTTTGCATGCAAGACTCCAGAATAGTGATTCTTTTATAATAGTGACATTCTTTTAAATATGTTATCTAGCATCTCTGGCAGATGTTAAGAAGCCTTTATTATATAAAGGCATGGATGGGAGATGGTACAGAATGCCATATTAAAAAGAATAATTTAAAAATAACAAGGTGCACTAAGCTTTAGAAAATTCTTGGTTTATGTAATATGTCGTTGTTGCAAGGTACAGCCCAAAGTGATTCAGTGCTTCCAGAGGTATTGTTTACACACAACTTTTGTCTGCAGAAAAAACATGAAATAGCCTCTCCTTTCCCCCACACCTGTGTTAGGCTGGTGTTTTTAAGTTCATATCCTTGATATGTCTTAATATATTCTAGTCCACCAAAGGCATTAATTAAGTGGTCAGGAAGTGTTAATGATGCTTGAATACATGTTGTTTCCTTAAGGAAGTTTACTCTGAATCTTCTTGCTGTGTTACAGTTGCACATAGACTTTTGATTCAGGTTGTATAATCATGCAGTGAACACAGCTATTTTTCTACTATGAAAAATAGAGAAGACATAATCACACTCTACTTTTCACAGTCAGAAAATGTGAAGGGGAAGCCCTACTAGGAGTGGAGGGGAGCCCTGCCCTCTGCTTCCTGGTGGAGTCCTGGGACCTGCATGGCAGGGGATGGGGCAGGCAGCCAGCTACATCACAAGGGGCTTCCCTCGGTGGCACGCAAGTGCTGGGAGCTGCACATTCACTGCAGGTAGCCCCACACAACAGAGGCAGGCCAGCCTGGCTTCACTCCTTGTCACCACGTGCAGCTTTGGCTGGCGGTGCCTGCTGCTGTACAGCAGCACCTGCAGGGACCGCAAACACTCACTGCCTGCTGCTGCCACTGGCAACAGGTTCTGTGCGCCATGGAGGAGAGTGTGTGGGGGTCCTCACACCCCTCCACCCTCCCTCAAATCCTACAAACCCCATACCCACACCTTGCCCACCTGAGCTCCATGTTCTTGCTGCCCCCCCCGCAACGGGCTCCATGTTTCTGCCAGCCCCAGCCCCATGCTTCATGCCCCCACCCAGCTGCAGATCCCCTTCCCCCAACCCCCATCACTTCCCTGCCTGCTGCCTGGAGTGAGTACTGTAACAGGGAGAGGAGGAGGAGATGCTGGATGCCAGGGAAGCCGAGCAGGTCCCCTGCCAGCTGCAGTAGCGGCAGCAGCAGCCTTGCCCAGAAGCTGTGCGCTGGCTGAGCCAAGCCTTTCCACACACAAGGGTGGGAGCAAGGTTTGTGGGCTGGGCAGGGTACAATTAGTTGTTGGGAGCCCGCAGGCTGGATGAAATTGCCGTGGGCTGTATTTTGCCCACTCTTGCCTTAGATCCTAGGCTTTGGGGAGTGGCAGCCTTCCTGTGTTTCTCCAAAGTGCCATACATCCATTTAGCATCATAATTCATGCTGTAGACTATTATGCTTTTTGTCAATGATTGTCCCTGTGAAAGTTCATAATTTATTGTATAATCATCTTCCCTCATTCCTTCAAAATCTGCATATATCATGTTGTCTTAAAATACTGTCACTCAGGCATTCATTAGTGTGGTTATGTGCCCCATTCACCTTAGGTTCTTTCATTCTATTTAATATCTCTGGGTAGAAGGACGTTTCCTAACAAGTTAAACATGGTTCTTTATAATAAATAATTTAATTTAAGGCAATTTATCACTACTAGCCTTTTATTATGAAATGGTTATTGATTTGTTCCATTTTGTTTAGGCCATTTCCATGGAGCTAGCTATGGCAAAACAGAAAAGGCACCTGATATTTACGTGCCCAAGGTAAATACAAAGAAGCAGTTGCACTTACACAGTTAATTTGTTTCCCTCCAGTAGGTTCTGGACTTGCAATATTTCCTAGTCTGGGTATTTTCATTAAGTAAAGCAAAAAGATATATTTGACAGGCATCTCTGGTTAAGACCAACTTATTGTTTTTAAATGGGAACACAGCATTGTGAATGAATCTGAATCGCCAACAGTCAGTAAGCGAACATGAGTTTGAAATTATTTTTCCTGTGCCCAGAATTGCATCAGGAAATGATAAATAGTCTTGCAGTTAAGGCACAGGGCTATAACTCAGGAAAGTTGGTTTTATTCCTAGATCCCCCAGAGCTCATGTGTTACGTTGGCCTTCTGATTTAATCTCTACTTCGTCCTTTGAAAAATGGAGGCAATGATCACCCTTTTCACAGGGGGTACAGGAGATCTGAGGGAAAATTAATGTTTGAGCATGTAGGATGGAGCACACTATATAAGTGCAAAGCATTGTATAGTCTTTTGTAATGATTCTTTCTCTTACCTTAGGCAAGAGAAGAGGTATGTCACTTGTAGGGGAGATTGTTCTTTTGGGGGACTTTGCCACAGTCAAATAGAGCTTTATGGTCAGAGTGTTTTTCCAGATAGTCTAGCAAACCTTTCCTCCTTTGTTTCATCTTTAGCTTCTGATACAGTACTTCCTAATATAGTTGCATTTCAGTTTAAAACTATAAAAATGTAAGTTGCCTTTGGGATTATATTGTCTCCCCTCCTCAATCGAGGAAACAAAAAAAGGCTGTATTGTTCTGTCTGTCTGTCTAGCTTCTAAGAATGGAATACTATTAGAGGAGCAAATACCAAGTGCTTATTGTCTCTCTGTTTCATTTAGGTTAATGGAGAAAGCATGCTAGGAGTTTCTCCAGCAAGTGCAGTTGGTGATATTCATCAGGCAAAAGGGCTAATGAACTTCACTGTCTCTAGAGATGTGCCCCCCAGTGTTTTTATAAATCAGATATCAGAGTTTTCCAAATGCAGTGGTAACTCAGGTAAGAAGAAAACATCTGTCTGATCACATCTCCATACCACTGAATTCAAGAGCAGGAGATAGAGATTGGGCAGTAAAATTTGCTGAATAATACAAAAAGTGGGAAAAAATTAGCTTTGTTGCTTAACAATCCTTTTATTTATTTATTTCAATGTCATCATCAGGTCCTAATTGCTCTCCTAAAAAAAAATTTCCCAAGAAAGATGGACGTAAAGTGGTAGGATTAGTATTTTCATAGATTTCATAGATATTAGGCCTGGAAGGGACCTCGGAAGATCATCGAGTCCAGCCCCCTGCCCCAGGGGCAGGAAGTCAGCAGGGATCATAGGATCCCAGCAAGATAAACATCCAGATCTCTTTTGAAGGCGTTCAGAGTAGATGCTTGAACCACCTCCAGTGGCAATCTATTCCAAACCTCAGGGGCTTGGACAGTAAAGAAGTTCTTCCTTATGTCCAGCCTAAAATGGTCATGGAGGAGTTTGTGACCATTCAAACTTGTCATCCCTTGGGGCGCTCTGGTGAACAAGTGTTCCCCCAGATCCTGGTGAGCACCCCTGATAAACTTATAGGTGGCCACCAGATCACCCCTGAGCCTGCGCTTTTCCAGGCTGAAGAGTCCCATGGCTATCAGCCTCTCTTCATAATGTCTGCTTTCCTGACTTCTGATCATGCGCGTGGCTCTCCTCTGCTCTCTCTCAAGCTTCTCCACATCCTTTTTGAATTGTGGAGCCCAAAACTGGATGCAGTACTCCAGCTGCAGTCTCACCAAGGCCGAGTACAACAGGAGAATGATGTCCTGGGATTTGCTCGAGAAGCATCTATGGATGCAAGCAAGCATTTTGCATGCTTTACTAGTAGCAGTATCACACTGAAGACTCATGTTCATGTTGTGGTCAATCATGACCCCCCAAGTCCCTTTCACCTGTAGTGCTAGCCAGTGTAGCACTGCCGAGCCTATAAGGATACTGCAGGGTTTTTTTCCCAAGGCGGAGAACCTTGCACTTTTCGGTGTCAAACACCATCAGGTTCTCATCCGCCCATTTCCTGAGCCTGTCAAGGTCAGGCTGGATCACCCTCCTGTCCTCAGGTGTGGATGCTTTACCCCAGAGTTTGGTGTCATCGGGGAACTTGGCCAGTCTGCTTCTGATACCAATGTCCACATCATTAATGAAGATGTTGAACAATATGGGCCCAAGGACAGAGCCTTGTGGGACCCCACTGGTCACGGGGCACTATGACAATTGACTTCTGTCAACCACCACCCTCTGGGTCCTACCACGGAGCCAATTCCCCAGCCAGTAGATTGTGGTGCGGTCGAGATGCACCAGATTCCAGGCTTGGGCAGGTAGCGCGGTCATGGTGTGGCCGAGCGGTACCAGTGGACCGTGGTGTGGCCAAGGCCGCAGTTAGCCAGTTTTACTAAGAGGTGATAATGGGATACCAGATTGAAGACTTTTTTTAAAATCAAGATATATGACACAAATCTCTTTTCCTTTTTCCAGGTGATAGGTCACCTGGTCGTAGAAGGAAATAAGATTGGTCAAGCAAGACCTACCCACAACAAACCCATGCTGGTTATCCCTCAGGATGTTGCCATCGTCCAGTCTGTTAAGATTGGCCTCTTTAATAATCTTTTCTAAGACCTTCCCTGGGATAGAGGTCAGGCTGATGGGCCTATAGTTTGCCGGATCCATTTTCCTCCCTTTCTTGAAAATAGGCACCACGTTGGCCTTCTTCCAATCTTTGGGCACTTCACCAAAGTGCCAGGAGTTCTCGAAGATCTTTGCCAGGGGCTGAGCTATGATGCTACCCAGCTCCTTGAGTACCCTGGAGTGTAAACTGTCAGGTCCGGCTGACTTGAAAGTGTCCAGCCTCTCAAGGTGTTCCTTCACAATGTCAGCATTGATGGAGTGTAAGGAATCTCCCTCACCTGGGCCTCCCTGTCCCATAATGGGCAGGGGTGTCCCATGGGACTGGTGAAAGACAGAAACAAAGTACTCATTTAGCAAAGTACCCATTTAGCAAGTTGGCTTTTTCCTGGGCGTTGGGTGTCAGTTGTCCCATCTGGTTTAGCAGGGGTCCAATGTTGCCCTTGCTTTTCCTCCAGCTCTCCACATATCTAAAAAAAAGGACTTTTTATTATACTTGATACTTGTAGCTAATTGGAGTTCTGTCGCAGCCTTGGCTTTCCTGGTTCGCTCCCTGTAGGTCCGAACCAGTGCAGAGTATTCCTCCTTGAAGGTGGATCCAATCCTCCGTCCTTTGTAGGTCTTTCTTTTTAGATGCAGGAGGTCCACTAGTTCCCTGGATAGCCAAGGGGGCTGCTGTGCCCTTTTGCTGCCTTTCCTCTGAGATAGGATAGACTTTGCTTGCACATCCAGGATTGCTCCTTTGAGGAGCAACCACTTGTCCTGAACTCCCCTCCCCTTTGGGTTGTGCCCCTTTAGGGATGTCCTGACAAGCTTTCTGAGCTTGTCAAAGTCAGCTTTCCTGAAGTCGAGGACTTCTGTATTGCTGACTGACTTGCCAACTTTACAGCGGATGGTGAAGGTGATCAGCTCATGGTCATTGTCACCCAACTTCCCTTTGATCATTAGGTCGCTGATTTGGTCATCCCCCACTGCCAAAACCAGGTCGAGCATCACTTTACCTCTCATCGGCCCGTCGACTTCGTGTTAGAGCTCATCCACGTATGAGAGAAAGCTTTGTGACCACTCAGATTTGGCTGGTGCTCTTCCCATGAGATGTCTGGGTACTTGAGGTCTCCCATGACAACCATGCACCAGGAGCATGCAACCTCAGCCAATTCCCTGGCAAACTCCTGGTCAAGCTCTTGATCCTGAGTCGAAGGTCTGTAGTAGACTCCCACCATTGTGTCCCCTGTGTCATGTTCCCCACGGATTTTAACCCAGAGGGTCTCTAGTCGTCCACCGTGGGTGCCAGTGTCGGCTTGCAGGGACACATAACTCTCCTTGAGATAGAGAGCTACACCCCTGCCCCTTTCGTCTACTTGATCCTTCCTGTACAGGGTATAGCCATCTATACCTGTGGCCCAGTCATGGGTGGAGTCTCACCAGGTCTATGTTATCCCAACAACATCATAGTTGTTTGTGTTAAGCAGGAGGACAGGTTCCTCCTGTTTATTCCCCAAGTTCCTGGCATTTGTGTACAAGCAGGCAAGTGTCCCTTTGGGGGCCCTTACCTTGACCACAGCTTGCTCCAGGGCTGGGGCAGGGGTGGGCTCCCTTAAGTGCCTTGGCCTGCTGACTACCGCCAGCAGGCCAGCACTAGCGGTAGTCCACCCAACCCCCGGCAGGCTCGGTTTTGAAATGGAAAATATAGCATAAAGGCAGGAATGAAAACCATAAATTTTGGCATATCTTAAAGAAAGGGCTTAGAATAGCTGCTGTTTGATAAACTACCCCTTTTTGTCATCTCTTTCCTTTAGGACCATTCATCTTTTTGTATTTTCTGTCATCTTGTTTAATTTATTTGTATAGAAACTGAGATGCCAGGTGATGAGTATTATGACGAGGATGATCATAATGAAGTTGTTCAGTATCTGTTGGATGTTGTCGATGAGGAAGCCCAGAACCTCTTAAATCGCAGTAGTGCAACGTCAGGTGACCAAGTGCCAGGTACTATATGGGAGTGGAAGTAAAGAGTACACAGAGGAGAGGCAATGAATGTTGAATGAGCAATTGACTGACCAGCTATCAAAAAGAGATGGAATAGAAGTGGCTTGCAGAATTAATTTTTCTAAAAGATGCGGTGCATTAGAAGAACACTACAGGTCAGTCGCATCATATGCGCATTTAACTCGCGCAAATTCAACTGTACACGGGGTGGGGGGGGGGCGGGGCTGGAGTTTGCACGCGGCACTGCCACTTACCTGGAGGCCCATTATGGCAGTGACGGCCACTGCCTCCAAAACCTCCCGCTGTTGCCCAGGAGCCGTGCCTGGAGCTGTGTGGCCAGCCGCCAGGTGGCAGCAGCAGCGTGATGGTGGCCGGGTGGCACGCAGCCATCCCCACCACCACCCCACACTGCGCCGCTGCCACCAGCCTCACTGCTCTAAGCATGGCACCGCATGTAAACTCAAGCCCCACCCCCTCTCCCACCCCAAGTATAGTCACCAGTTTTCGCCTTATTCCATTTTCGCCTTATGCACTGACTTCAAAACCTAACCCCCGCATAAGATGCAACTCCACTGTACTTCTAAGTGCGAGAATGTTTGGTAAAGTCTTGATCTCCACCCTCTACCCCCCTGGTTTTGGAAGTGCTTTTGTGCCTACAGACATTTGTGGGTAGATTTGATGATGTTGTTTAGATATCTTAGAAGTATGATCAGATATCCATATTGTATCCATTGCAGTTGCAAAATTACACCTGCCATTTTTGAAAAGTATACAGTATTTTTTCTTTGCCAATCCTCTCCTTACTCTTGTATTTTTCTTTGCACCTAGTTCTGCATAAATCAGTACAGCTCCACACCTTTATTGCTGTCTCTGCAACAGAACAGCCACTGTCAACTGAAATGAGCCAGATAGTGAATGCTAATGGGGAATAGTACATGCTAACAGTTCCTGTGAGGCATCACAATCGACTTGCACGTTACTGCATTAAACGAAGTTGGTAGCTGTCACTGGAATTTTTTAGCTCTTGGCACCCCTCACTCGATTATAGTTCTTTTAACTCTTTTCCTACTGTTCCTTCTAGACTGTGTTGTCATCTATTAACATGCTTGTAAAACTAGTAGAATGTGTTTACTGAGTAAGAGGAGACTTGGCTAGTTTAAATTAGCTCCATGACTTCTGAAGATCTGGCCCTTTTCATACAACAGTACAGCTTGTCCATTGAACCTAGGGAATGTCATAGTAGTGAAATAGTTAATGTAGGTCTAATTTTGATGATTATCATCAATTGATGATAACTCATGATGAATATACAGAGTAAATAGAATCCTGATTTAGGATTATTGTAAATTAAATTACAGACATATATGGGATCAGATCCTATTCCATCTGGGCACCTGAGTGTGATCCTCTTCCACCTTGCTCAAGTCTATGAAAATTAGCTCTCACAAACGATGCACAGTTCCTTCTCCTTCTCTCTGCTGCTTTTTGTGACTTGAGCCCCCTCTACGTGTTACACTAATACAGTTAAGGTGTTAATTGTGCCATAAATAGTGACCCTGACACACATTCAAGTCCATCTGTAGCATGGTAATATAGCAAACAAGCCACATAGCTATTCCATATATAATAGGTGCATCTACATGTGCCAATTTAAGGTGCTTTAGCCTGATTTAAAGCACATTAAGGCACATCTACATGTATGCACCCTTAATGCACCTTAAAAATAGCGATTTTAAGCTATTCGTGCGTAAATTTGGTACCTACAAAAGCAGGCACTAATAGCTAAAGCACAATAATGCATGTGTAGACATGTTAAGGAGCATTAATGCTGTGTATGGACTGACTTGGGACCAATTTTAGTCCCACATCAGCCTGCACACACGTCATTAATGCACTTTAACTTGTGCATGTGTAGATATGAGCCTGAAACGCCTTAATGCACATTAAATTTAAGCACACATTATAAACATGTGTAGAAACGCCCAGTGTGTAACATCTTTGTGGTTCATTTGTGTCTTGCCTTAAATTGAATGTGTGGCATGACAGGGCTAACCCATGATGGTTGTCAAGGCTCAGCTGAACGTTGGGATCCAGAACGGGACAGCCCCATGGTCCAAGACACAGCTATTCCCTACCCAATCAGTGGAATTGGGCTGGGGCCAGCATCAAGTGCTGGACCTGATGCCTCCACCCAATCCCTGGAGGTAGATGGGCAAGTGGTATGAGCCTGACATCAGGGAGCGGCTCCCTGATGTCAGGCTCACTGCTCCCTGGACTTTTAAAAAGTGAATGTGCAGCTGAGCTACACACCTGGTTTTTAAAGGTCTTGGCATGGAGACCCCAAGATCAGGGAGCCCCTCCCCACTCCCAGGGCTCCTTGCACTGGGGATGTCAGAAAATCATCTGTGCAGCCTGACTGCACACGTGGTTTTTAAAGGTCCTGGCGCAATGTTGTCCCCAGGATCAGCATGAGGCTCCTTGGTCCCTGTGTCCCAGCATGACATGACCTTTAAACACTGCATGAGCAGCTCAATACAGAAATTCAATTAAAACCTTGTCATTGTTATATATACACCTCAACTTAATACCAGTGCAAATAATTGCTCAATTAAAACAAAATTGAAATGACCCCAAATTTTGATTTTGTTACCAAAAAAAACCCAAACCCTAGATTGACACTCACTTAAAACTACACATTCTTTACACTCTTTTGGCAGTAGAGATGGACCTCAAAGTGGTCATAAACTATACTTTTAAGTCCTTGTAAGCGGGACCAGTGCAGATGTCCTTTATCTGTCTGAGAATTAGGTGTCTCCTCTCTCTCCAGCTCTTCATTTCACTGTGTTTCTCCAGCAGGTTCTTTAGCAGCAAATGGGAAGCTGATAGAGGAGAAAAATGAAGATACAGACTGTGATGGATCATCTTTGCCTGAAGACTTTCCAGAGGTATGACAGAGTTGGTAGTGCCATTCTTTGCTGATCCTTATTTCTCAAACAACTTACTTGACTTCTCATTTCTTTAATCTCACAGAATTTGTAGAAATAATTCCATCTGCATTTTAAATTGCTCTATCCCTATCGTTTGATAGACTTTTTCAAAATAGTGTCAGGAAACAAGAGTATGGAAATATTTTTTTTTTTTACATATGGTATAATTAAGCTGTAATGCATTAACTGGGCAAAAGAACTAACCAGAGAATTAATTTAAGTAGCTTTTTACAGGCAAAAATGAAAGTCACTGGGTTTTTAAAAATGCAGTGCTAACAAAATGCCATTAAAATAGTATTTCAAGTGTTTTAGACAGAAAGTCATCTGAGTTAAAAGCAGGTTTGGGGGAAAATAAGAGCGTTACAGATACTTCATATATTATCTCTGAAAATCCAAATCAGAAGCTCCCTCTCCCTTACCTTTTTTCTAAGATTAAATTAGTGTTCTTAAATTCTTTCCTCTAAGCTGTTGCATTATAGCAAAGTGTACTGTCTCAATAAAGTTGTGTTTCTTGCAATTTATCCAAGTACTCTAATGGAATTCCCCCTCTCCTCTCTATACTCACTGTTTGAGCCTCCTGCCCAGTTATCCACAGCTGGATATTTGATTGGCAGGAGCTGCCTAAATCAGGGGTATGCACACTTCGAGCAGCAGAAAACCCTGTTAATGGAGCTCAGTCTAAAGCCGGCTAACCTCTGTAACTCAGCAGGTATTGATTTGCTCTACCATCAAATGCTACTGATCATGCAGTGGATTCCTACACTGTTGAATGCCACTGAATTGCCCCACTTCCAGATGCTGCCACCATCCTGGCTCTGTGGGCTCGGTACAATCCCTTCCTAGACCAGGTCTGGCCTATGGCTTATGGGTTGCCAACCCCTGCTGTAGGTGATTTAAAAGGAACGCTGTCTTTGGCTGAACCAGCAGAAAGTCAGC